AGTGACGTAATAATTGAGTTAATTATACTAAGTCCTTAAATAAAATTAATATTTGAATATCTCATTGTTTTTACCGGATAAAATCTCCTGTATGTGAGTATGTAATCTTTCATCTCTTATAGATCTTACTCTTTTTTATTTTTTTATTTTTAACTTTCTAATATTTTATTCTTGGGTTGCTTTGGTATCTATATAGTATTCCAATTGCAAAACTGGTATTTGATCTCATGTAGGTTTGAATATATAATAAACTTTCAATTTTACATATATAATAAATATCTTTTATTTGATTTCTTTCGAAGTTATTTTTCGGACATTAGATTTGACTGAATTTTTCACCATTAGTTGAAAATATATATATATATACTAAATCTCTTCAATACTTAGTTGATATACTTTTTTCAGAAATTGTCTTAATAATATTTAAGATCTATCCTTAAATATCTCAATGCTAATAACATAAATTACCTTATTCATATCAATTATCTTAAAATTTTTGATAAAAAATATTTTGATTTTGTATAATAAACCAAGATGATTGCTAACACAAAATCAATCTATCAATTATTAGAAAGGAACTCTATAATGTTTGACTCAAAATTGCACGCCAAGAATTCCCTATTATTGCTACCAATTATTGCTAGCATTCCCTATTATCCATTGCACGCCAAGAATTAGTTGTATTGCAAATACAGTAACAAGAATTAGAACGTCAGATTTCATCAGACTAAGAGGGGAAATCTAAACCTTTAATAACACAGCTTCCAACAATGTTGAAGCTACTTATATCTTCTAATCCAACCGAACATTTCATAGATTGCCAATAGCTGAAATGAAATTGTAAAGAGGGGTAATCTTTGTCGATATGCATACAACAGAACAACCTGTAATTGGTATTCAAGTTGCATGTTCCATTCTTTGGTGGATCACCACAACGCTACACTGTCTATATTCACAACATGCTACCTCATGTTATCAACAACTGTGAGTTTTATCTTTCTCTACGTTATACATCATGCTGATCTTCTATCTATTCCTGGCACCTGATGCCTTAACAGCCGGCATCGTGATAATAAACCCTCTTACGTTGCAACATCATGAAACAGGTACGACCGGTCTCCCACATTTGCATAATTATACTTGGCTGTGCCGGCACCACCGACAGTAGGAGCAGCTGCACTGTAAATGGATTCCCTTTGAATCCCAAGAAAGCTCTGCTGATTGTTAGATGCAGGAAGCTCACCATCAGAGTGCTGTACTCCCAGTGACAGAGACACCCTACTACCCCCATGGTGACCGAACTCAGACATCTGATAGGCCACAAAGCCATCCAGTAGATGGAACATCAGCCTGAACTTTAGGGAAATACTCTGATGAATAGTTTGAGTCGATCTCAGTATTACCAATATCCTATTTGGATGTCCTCAATCATAGGCTTCCGAAGCAAAGGCGAACCAGTGCATTTATGAACCAATTAGAAACCTGTAAATTAGAAAAGATCCCAAGGAAGCTATAAATTACAGCTACAATGAGAAAGCTATCCTAAATATGCCTGTGCTCACCTGACTCCTTGTCAAGCCTGTCTGTTTTGCAAGCATTAGTTTTTCAGAATTGATCGGGTAACTGAAAAAAATTACAAACAGGACGGTAAGCATGAATTGGATCTGCCATGGTACAATGAAGTGACAGGCGAAAGCAGTAGGTAGTTTAGAACTCACGGGTCAAGGAAGTGCTCGAACAGCCAGGCACAAAGGATTGAGACAGATGAATCAGGTAAACCACTTTGTGGCCTCTAACCATGCTGCTGCATCACACCAAGGTGCTGCAAGGCCCTCTGTTGCCTCGGCTGCTGATCTATATATCAAAGGCGAGATATTCCAGCACCCTTGCCATCTGAATTATCTTGCTCTTCAAGGGATTTCCTAGTGACTTGAATTTAGCCACCAATGGCATCTCTCAGGCAGCGGAAGTGCCGAGAAATTGTTTGAAGTGCAAGTGCAGTGTAAGGTTTTGCAGCCTCAGGACCCACTACTTCATCGAAGGATGACACCGTCGTCTGCATCTGGTGGAAATACTGTTTATATCTATGGATATCCAGAATACAAATCCGAATAATGTCCAATTTTGTGCATATCTTACTCTTGGGATCTCACCCAATCTTGAAAGTTTGAAAGCAGATTTGTATGTGTTTAGGGTAGCACTAATCATATAGCAACAATTTGGCCATTCCTTTCTAAGATTGCAATTCCTCCCCAAGGTAGAATTCCTTCCCAAAATCCAGCCATTTGTATTCATCATTTTAAAGTCAATATGTGACAGTGACATTGTATAAATCTATTAGCATCTCTCTGAATAATTAACTCACAAGCAACAGCATCATAATAACAGTGTTCATCACACCAGTCAATTTCTCATGACAGGTTTGTGGCACATAGAGAGTGCCACCACCAAATACAACAAAGGAAAACAAGATGGTTTTTGACAAGGTCTTCATCTAGTTATATCTGTAGAACTCCCGAAAAAGAAAATATAAGGCCATGTAATACAATTATTTATTGAAAACCAAAAAAGATTCCCTTTATTTCATCACTGACCACAAACTTTTTCGGTTAGTAAGATCATCTGCAGACATAAAAGGCATTGTAGGAAATATTTCCACAAGGTTAGAAATGCAGATATACAGCAAGATGATTATCAATAAAACAAGTAGCTCATTAAAATTTTCTAAGCTTCAAAACCAGAAAATAATTATCAACAAAAACAAATGCGAGTTAGTTTATACAAATAAACTCTAGAGTTTTTCAACCTGATTACAAGAATCAACATTCTTTTGAAAATATTTGCAGTTCTGCATGGAAATGTCAGAAAAAATGAAGAAGAACACAGTAGATCGCATGACAGAAACAGTTGGCAGAGTTACATACTTTAGAGGCATTTGAAATGCAAATCTGGTGCATAGGACAAGGCAGGGGAATGTCACAGTACACAACCAAAAATTCAATTTTAGAACACTTCCACGTGAATTTTAAGTTTTTAACCACAGTTATGTTTATCAAAAGTCCAATTTTGAAAGAATCATAGTAAAAATATTGGGTATGCAAAAGAAAAATTTATGGAGGTCAATAGCAAAAGAAATACGCACCTCATCCAACATTGCCAGTAGTTTGGTCACTTTGTCTTGAAGATCCTGCGTTTCAGAGAGTGACAGCTCAGTAGACGAGTTGATGGTAGAGTCTTGAGGGTTTGTTGACTTTCCTTCACCTTTTGATTTTGCAGTACCATCCTTATCCATACTGTTAATAGGAGAAGAATGAAGATTTTGAGCTTTGTCTGAATGTTGCTTCAGAGCCTTGTGGACATTTACAACTTCATTAAGTAATTGTTGTCCTGCCTTTAGATACTTAAAATTTAGAACTGGACTAGCAACACTTGGATGGCTGTGCTGGCAATTGTTAGCATGCACAGTCATGTTCTGATAATTTTGATTTCTGCATGACACACCACTTCCGGAGGTTGTTTGATGAGGACAAAAGAGAGAGAGATCAGAGCTACCAGGCAGATACTGGATTGAAGGGACTGGAATTTGTGTGGTAAGGCTCAGTGACAATCCTTGGCAAGGCATGGTTGAAACATCTGACAGCTGCAAGGACAAGCTCTGCCTATCTAACATGCCCAACTCTCTCTGCAGACTAATCTGGGGTTCATTGCCATGAAGAAGATCCTCCTCATCCTCTATTGCAACACTAACTGTTTGCATGAATGACATCTCATTTTTCCCATCCTTCCATGAGCCATAAGCATGCTCACCAGTACAGGAAGTGACCGTATCAAGATTCCCTCGAGTCGAGCCTAGTGAAACTGAAAGCTCAATGGAGTTCTGCTGAGGTTGAGTGTCGCCTGCCGCTAATGTGTCTGAAATAGCAATGGAAGATGAATAATTATGATACTGCAAATTGCCAAGAACTGATGCCCCAGAAGATCTATAATGTCCAGGCTCTCTCATATGAAGATTTGGGATTTTGTCCATTTGATTGGAAGGATTCAAAAAGAAAGTGGACATATACTCTCTTCCACGACGGTAAGCAGACCAAAATCTTTTGAAACAGCAGGATGATGGATCATCTCTCTGTTGGAGAACAGTGGTAGCATCTTTAGTCATGGACAGTTCAGTAATACAAGATACTGTGTCCTCATGAAATGTATACAAGGTGCAACAAGCTGTGCAAAAAATATCAGAAAAAGAAATTAAGGCCTGAAGCATAAACATACTTGAAGTGAAAAATCATGTAGATGTGATTGCTCTAGCAGAAAACTCAAAAATTTATGCTGGTATATTTATTATTTAATATGATTGTTTGAAGACCGACAAAAATTGCCAAAACAAAGTTATAAAAAAAGAATTAGATGTTGAATTCAACCAATTTTTCCAAATGTGGCTGAACTCGACAATCATCGCTATTTCCTCAACTCCTCCATTAGAATCACTGGAAAGTTACAGTGAGGATTCAATTTCAGACACTCTAAAAGGTGCTGCCACAAGGGTATCCATGAGTAGTAAATGTGGACATATAACAAAGCTAATCTATTTACCACAAGGGATATATCATGTCTGTAATCACTTCAGGCACTTCAGTCTTGAAATGAATAATCTTATACCAAGACCAAGCAATCCAGGCTTGCAAATAGCAAATAATGTATGACAAACAACAAACACATAGCAAAATAGTAAATAATGTATCCAAATGTATGGCAAACAACAAACACCTAGCAAATAGAAATAGTAAATAATGAGAATGAATTCAGAGGACATGATCATTTGAACCCAGTCATGAAAGAGAAAACAGCAGCAAGCAACAGAAAGACAAAGGCCAATTCCCAAATAAGCACACTTTCTATTTGCTTTCCTCTTCGCTAATTGCAAGGAAAAGGATTTGCTTCAGAAGTAAACAAACAAACAGAAGCAGCATCGTTTAAAGAGCCCTAAAGCCAGTTGGAGTTCCATCCTATTCAAACAAAAAATTTACAAGAACAACAAATTTTTATAAAGAAAACTGACTCCCCAAAATCTTAATAAAAGAGAGTCAAATGTCAAATACTGATAAAGATAAGCACTAAAGTAAAACAAAAGCTAGGAAGAGAAGAAAACCTAGAAAAAAAAAATAACAAACAATCAACTGTACAAGAATGGCTGCACCATCATACAAGAAATCTTGAATAAAAATGAGACACAGAAATGGGAACCGAATGATGTAAGCAGAACAACTGCATGACATATTGATTTTAGCAACCAGCTGACATGATGATGTCCTCGTCGAGCTATGGAAGATATTGGTTGGTCAGATGAAAACCACAAAACCCAAATCTGTGCACCTAATGGGGAGCAAGAAAGCGCGAACTCACCGACTTCAATTTGGAGACATGGTAATCCCAAGGCTTCAATTCAAAAAAATACTCATACCTCTTCCGTTTCCTTTCCCTCTCCGATACGATTACTTTCGCATCCACATATGGCTTTCCCTTTCTCTTTCACCACAGCATCAGACAACCCAGCATTCTTTATTTTTTTTATTGCCTTGTGTGGGTTGTGACATAAGTATCGATCACTCCTTCTGGTTTTCTTTACTATAATTATTTTTATGATCAAAATTTGAATCATATAATAACACTAATAAAATCGTAAAGAGATTCGACTATATAAATATTTTACAACCATTAAGATCAAAATTCAAATCACACGGATCTTAATCTGATTCCGTATCGACAAGAATCTCGTCGATTAGATATTATATATATTTGACATTAAGATATCTTTGCTTTGTTTAATAGCAAATTGTCATAAAATAAGATTGATCAATGTAGAGGATGATAAGGGACCATTTGATCAATTGGTCATTAGTACTATAAGCTCTAGAAATCATCCATTTCGAGCGATAGGCATATCCGTATGAATTTACCTTTTTGAAGCTCATGAGAGTAAGAGAGGATCGATAGAATCATGAGAGTAAGAGAGGATCGATAGAGTTTCTGCTCTCTCCCGTAGGAGAGCCAAGAGTTATTAGTCGAAGTGCATGGCTTGGGAGTTGATTTGCTCAATCGAGGTGTAGGCCTTAGGTTTTTTTGTCGAGATGTACTACTCAGGAGTTGGTTTGTTCGGTCGAGGTACACAACTCGAGCCCTCTTTTTAGCACTAATAAGAGATCATTTGGTCGATCGACCATTAATGCAGACCATAAGGTCACGAGGAATTATTCGTTTTGGGCAATGTGTATATCCATACGATTTTATCCTTTTGAAGCTCATGAACTCCAAAATGTGCCTCTGAAGGTAAGGGAGACCCGATAGACTTATGAGCCATTGGTTCCCATACTCCTCAACCACGAGCTCCGAAAGAATAAAATTATACGAGTATACCCATCACCTAAAGTGAACAATTCCTTGCAAGCCTATAGGTCGTACTAATGGCTGACATACCAAATGGTCCATTACCAACTTAGTGCTAGAGGAAGGGCCCGAAGCTTGCACCTCAACCGAGCAAACCCAGTCTTGAGCTGTGCACCTCGGTTATGAGCCCTTGGCTTCCTTACAGGAAAGAACATTGGTAAGACCATTTTGTCTCATATTAGTTGAGAAGTATAAGAACCAATGACTCATAAGTCCGTCATGTCTTCCTTACTATTAAATGTCTTTTGGCACAAGCTCCAAAAGGACAAAACTGTGTTGAGACCAAATAGTCTTTTATTAAATTGATACTAGAAGAAGGGCTGAGGCCTGCATTTTGGTCGAACAAATCTATTCTCTTATTCGTACGCCGAGAGTACTAATAAAGTCATTTAGTCCCATATTTATTAAGCAGTATGAGAATCAAGAACTCATAAGTTCGTCAAATATCATTTACTTTCAAGTATATTAAATACACTCATCATTCATTCAAAGTAGATAATTTTTATAATTTTTATGAGCGTTAACGGGGTCGATTGACTAAATGGTCTATCGTACTTTTGTTCCTTCATCCAGGTTCTCAGGAAGCTCCACTGCATTAAAAATAACAAGTGCAGAACAAAACTGCAAGTTGGCCTGTTACTGATATCGTACTTTAGTTTCAATAGCAAACATGGAGAGTTCAACAAATAGTACGTTGAAGGCCTCTGAATAGGTTGTCAGCCATTGTTTGCAGAGGTATTCTCACGTTAAAAATTAGAGAATAATTATATTTTTTAATTTTTAAGATTTCTTTTCTTAAGATAGATGTATCTCTGTACTTGAACTCATTATTATGACATTAACTCTCGGAATCTAGAAATCCTTATCAATCTTAATAATATTATTATAATGACAGACAAGAACATATGATATACATGACAAAAAGTAGGTTTTCCTTCTGGTGAGCATAGCTTTTTCTTTGCTCTGGGTCTTCATGATCACAATCAAGCAGAATAGCTTTTTCATGGAGGTCCAACTTTTTGCATGACTAGTTAGTTACCTGCTGTAAGGAACTCTCTCTCTCTCTCTCTCTCTCTATATATATATATATATATATACATATGTATATATAAATATATACATATGTATATGTATATATACATATATATACATATGTATATGTATATATACATATATATACATATGTATATGTATATATACATATATATACATATGTATATGTATATGTACATATACATATATATGTATATGTATATATATATGTATATATGTATATATATATATACATATAATTAATTTGTTTCCATATGTATATATAATATTACTAAGTGCATAATGAACATATCATATTTTGTACTGCAATTCGCCATTGTAATTATGCTGATGCATGCATATGAATGACTTCGGTTGGCAGTGGAGAGCTTCCCCTTTGGCCGAAGCACTTTAGCCAACTCCAACAGCTCGTCAGTCTCTGGCACAAGTCCTTCGCAGCCTCGTGGGAGCAGAACCGCTCCGCGCACCCCACGAGCAGCGGCGTCTTCTCCTCGTCCAGGAACCGATGACCGATCACCTTCTCGCATCCCAAGAAGCATCAACGGCGATGTCCGAGGTATATCATGTTGAGAATTGATTTATGATAGTTATCTAGATAGTTATCTTGAATAGTTTTAGGCATATTTCAAGAAGTGACCCATGATCTAGAAGTTATAGAAGTTATATGGTAGTTCCTATAACTACTTCAATCATGGATGACATGGGGAGTGAGATAGTTACCACTAAGTCTTATAAATAGAAACATAGTTCATAAAGCAAGAGAGAGTGTATGTACACTTGAGAATATATTGTAAGTATTCTTGTCTATCTTTTATTAAGTACTATACCGGTTTTCTTGATTAAAATGATTCCTTTTAATTGCATTGTAGTTTTCTGTTTTTATCATTTCCTTGCTCCTCCATCTCCGACATTCGCCCATGGCGTCGCCGAAGCCTCTCCCCTTGCTCAGATTCGCCAGGGCCTCCTCCAGCAGCTCCAACCCTGCGAGCGTTTGCTCCATGGCTTCCGCCCTGGCTTCCTCCGTTTCAGCCTTTAATGCTGCGGTCATCGATGGGAACCACTGCAGCAGCATGATGTGGGGGACACTGTGACCAACCCAAGCAGAACAACGTAGGCCTGCGAGGAGCAACTCGTACCTCGTCGTCGATGTAGGCGGGCCAAAACCGATGGAGAGCACGGTCGTGCGGATGGCGCGGCCGGATGCGGCCCAGGCCTCGTCGACGTACTCGACGATGACCATGGACTCGCAGACGGGCTTGTGGTTGTGGATGAGGACCGGGATCTTCTAGGAGACATGGTTGGATTCCAGTAGCAGCTGGCTCCTCTCACCCAACTTCTCTTGCAGGAAGTCGTAGTCCACCACCCCCTTCAGGTGCAGAGCTACCTTCACCCTCGTACGGGCTCGGCCACAAACCCCCCGCCCCCCCCCCATGAGCTTCACTTCTCCTCCCTCCCCAGCTGCTGCTGCAATTCCTTCCGCTGCGTGAGACAGCAGTGCATGGGCTGGCATATATATTAATATCTAGGGGCGTCAGATCACTGACTGCTCTCCTGTTCCTACAATTGCTTCCGCGTTAAGAATGAGAGGCATTCTGTAGTGATCTATTAAGTTGTTAGTGATAATCTTGAATATACATACTTTTGACGTGCGGAAACTGACTGTGTCTGATTTCAGGTTAAGAAGAGGCAATGGGATTTGAAACTTCACGTTCAAGTTTCTATTGGAATGCTCAGCTTCATATGTTGGTGTTTTGATGAGCTCACAAGCGGATGATGATGATTGTAGGTTAGCGTTCCCGAACACTTTCACAGCTTTTCCTTGAATTGCACTGCAGAGTTCAGAATCATTCAACTTCACATAGCAAGAACTTTACATAAATAAAGACATTAGCTAGATCAAATAACAACGCTGATGAAGAGAGTAAAGGATGAACAATCACATACTCCACAGCCACAGTGATACCTAGCAAACCATGCCTCATCAAATTTTGTATTTGACCGGAGAGAGTTGGATAGAAGCATAGCAAAGTAGATGAAGCTCTGCAAGGTGAGGAGAAACAAGGGAGCTGATCACCTTGTTCCTCTTTAAAGACATGAACCAGATAAGTTCTAATTTAAGCACACTCATTGTACCGAGATGACCACCAGCAAGAAGCTAACACCAAGTTTGTACGCATGAATATATAAACGAGTACCATTGTAGCAAATGACTCGAGCATTAAAAGAAACTACAGATTGAGCTAAACCTTTGGATCTTAAGAACATATGCAATCATGACATGCCCACATCATGAATGGATATGACTAGTGCTTGAAAGAAAACACAATTTTCAAGAATTATGAACAGCTGCATAAGTCATCACACATTGAAATACTATTGTAGAAATGCATAATAACTAAAGTGTAGGATAGGTCACAACATCTGCAAGCTTCAAAGTTATACAATGATAAGAGAGAAATCACAATGAGATTGATATGCAGAGACATTTCATGAAACATGCTGAAGAATGAATCATGCTCAGTTGTTTATCGACATTTCTGCCACATTCATGAATAAGTTATAAGTTTGGTAACTCTTATGTACATACTCTTTGATATTCATGAATCATTTCTTTCAACAATCACAGAAATATTTGATGTTTTTGATAGTACTGCTTTTATGCTCTCGGACGAACATAGCTGATCCCTCCCAGAAATCAGCAAGCATCCCAAGAATCCTGAAATTGTGAACAACCAACAAAGCGAGTGAATTATTATATAAAATTCAACCATAGAATTGATTTCCTTTTACTAAACACAGTCACAGTGAGTTGGCCGTCTTGGACAAACTGAGGTACAAGATTATACAAAAAAATAAGTAATACTCAGTTAAATAGTGCTCATAATAACATCAACAGAGTGTCCTGGTTGCTGCAAGTATCTCATGAAAGAAAAAGCTGGATCATTACATTTTCTGATACCAATTAACCGTTCTGATAGTTCTTACAGTAATTTGAACAAACTATAAAGACTTCCAGAATTGTTGAGCAAAAAAATTATGCACAATC